CATTACTGAGGCATGTTCCAATTCCATTATTACACAAATATCAAAAAAATTAGAAATATATTGCGTTTATGTCTAGCCTGTCTCTGGCGAACTGAAGTTAATAATTTTCCTTGGATTCTAAGTTCTAATTCAGCGTAACTCAAACTGACACATTTTTGATAAAGAAAAAAAAACGGTGGATCTTTGTATCCTCTATCGAATGACAGGCATATCTGGATGTCGCCAGTTTTTGAGTTATGCGATGTTGAAACTTAAGCGACGATGAACATTATTTAATTATCGCCAACGACATCTCCTTCAGATGCATCTGTTTCTCTGGTATCAAGGGGTATTTCGCAAATCGGGAGGATCAAATACAATAGTTTCATAATAGCCCCAAGAGTCACCCATTGAATTCTTGCCCTATTTTTGGGAAGCACCCTGTACATGACTAAACTAAGACAATAGCATCATACTAAGTTATAATTAAATCGTGCGACTTCTGGTCCGACCAAAATTATAATTTTTCTGCAACAACCAATCCCAAAATTTTAGGATCAATTTTAAATTGGCGAATACTAATTAGCAATGCCAATGCACCCCTCAAATTGATGCACTTATTTTTCTTTGCTCTCCCTCCTTCCTTCCTTTCTTCTTCCCTTCTTTCTTCCTGACTTTGTTTGGTATCTGGGCAACCAGACCTGATAGACCTACTGACTTACAAGACTTCAACCACGAGCGCAAAGGTCCTACGGATCGCTCTGACAGACAATGACGAATAGAGATCATACTAAGTTATAGTCAACGCCAAACAAAGTGGCGTGCACGTCATCAAGGTGGGTGTGTTGAAAAATTTACATTGTTACCAAACTTTTTGTAAAATAATAAAATTTATTATTTACATATCTAGGTTTATAAGCAATATTAACCTCAAATGAGAACAAAAATAATAGTATAATAAAATTATAGATCTGTAATTGCATAATCATTAAGTATGACAATTATTGATCAGATGACACTATGAAACTACCATATTTAATTGATAGCTTAAAGGTACTGAATAAAAATCCAAATGGGGTCCTCCAAATTTTATGCATGGTATTTATTTTACAGAATTCATACAGAAAAATGCATTCTAAAATTAGGTAAGCTACTGGTGTAAGCTTTTTCTGTAGAAATAAAGTTAGTCGGAGTTTCTTTCTTCAGCGCTGTCTGAATCTGAATCTTCATCACTCTCAAAGTTGATTATTAAAGGTTCGATGTCTGGTCGATCAAAAATTCGTTCTCTTTCATACCATTTAAAAATTTCTTGCTCAGTATGTCGAACACTATTTTTCCACATGTCTGGGGTAACCGTTTGTAGAGCCTCGTTCCACATATCCAAACAGTCTTTTTCACTGTTACCATCTCTACCAATATGTCTGTTATAGTAACCTTTTGCTATGCCCCAAATTAACTCAATAGGGTTAAATATACAATGGTAAGGAGGCAGACGAAGAACTTTGTGCCCATGTTGTTCCGCCAATTCATCAATCACGTATATTTTAGGTGGTTTGTTTCTAAAAAAGCAGTTATTTTAAGAATAGGAATAAACGAAAGAAATATAAACTGTCGACCAAAATATATATAATTAAGAAGCATTATGTACCGAGCAACAATACTCAATAGCTCTGTTTTAAACATTGTGTTTAAAAATGGTATGTTTTGATTTGTCAACCAGTCTTGGATATTTTTTTTTGTCCATGCATTGTTGGGCACTTTGTTCAATATCATGCTGTGATAAGGGGCGTTATCCAGTATAATCATAGATGGACTCTCCAATTTTTCTAATAACTGATGTTGAAACCATTTCAAAAAATTGTCCTGGTTCATCTCTCCATGGTAATCGCTCAATTTTGTTTTCGAAGAAAATATCGCTTCACTACCCTCAATAAACCCATTTTCATTTCCAGCATGTAATATAATGTATCTAAAATATATTAGTTTTAAATTTTATAGTGCAAATTGTGTAAAAGTACATACCTTTTACCATCTGTTTTAATAGCTTTCACGCTTTTTTGGTTTCCATTTTGCCAAGAGCGACCTATGGTCCCATTTTGAAATATCCAAGTTTCATCGAGGAAGACAAACTGGTATAAGGCCTCAACCTTGGCTTGATTGTATTGCCTTAGAAATTCCACCCTTTTCAAAGCTATACTTGGTAGTTCCATGAGCCCTCGTCGCGGATTGTCCTTAAGCCACTTAAATCCAAGATCTCTAAGCAACCGCCTTAAAGACGTGGCACTACCATCAAATAATGCCCTATCTCTTAATCGAGACCATAAAGTTTGTATCGTAACTTGTTCTTCTGAAACCATGTGTAATATGACATTATAATTTAGTTAACAAATTAATGCAAATTTCTGATAAGTTATTATAATAAGATCTTACTTTTGTGATACATATTATAGATCACTTCTCGAATGGCACTTGTATCCAATGTCGCTGTGTTGGTTACACGTTTAATATAACTCCGCTTTTTCTTGGGCGATTCTAAATTTGCATCACTTTTCACACCCTCGGAAATACGACTAACTGTCCTTAAACTAATTTTTAAAGCAGCAGCAACACGCTACAAAAAATGAAATAAAATTGCACTATTATTAATATACATTACATATAATTATTAGTAACCTACCTCTTGAACAGCATTTAAAGGCAACAAAGGCCCGTTGTTGTCCCTTTCTTGCTCAAAGTAGTGCATTAACGAGGCCACGAGTTCCTTACACCGACTATTTAACTGTTTGGGCATCTTTATATACCAAAATTGCCTTTATCTACTCGTAAAATGAATAATTTTGTTTTGAAACAAACAGTTGTTGATTTACAGTATGCGGGGCCAAAGGATTTATAAAGATTTGAAGGGGAAGGAAGGAAGGAATAAATGTGTATATGTAATTAGAGAAGAAAAAAGGAAATTCTACGATAAACAAATCGATAATAACAAGTGCGACAGTGTAAAGATGTGGAAGACTTTAAAAAGACCGATCAATTCGAAGCCGCATGATTGTGTAAATCAAGTTCAATTCGAAAACGGTACCGAAACAAATTCTTTGGTAATGGCAAACAAACTAAATGAATATTTTGTGGAAAGTATTGTTGATATTGTGGGTACTGCCAATGCTGCACCTGACTATATGAAAATCAGTTTCCAGAGGGAAATGTTGCATACACTATCAAAATTTCACAGCATATCATTAAATTATCTAAGAAAAAAAGTAAACAGTTTAAAATCAAATAACAACTGTGCCGAAATCACTACTAAAAACGTTCTGAAAAACTGTTTCGAAATTTTGGGATATCCTGTATTAAATTGGATCAATTGTTCACTGAGAAGCAGTTCTTAACCAGAAAATTTGAAATGCTGTACAATAACACCAGTTCCCAAAATAAGAAATTCTAAAAGATGCAGCGATATGTTACCAGACATTGAAAAATTATTAGAGTCCATAGTGCATGACCAATTAATGCAGTTTATAGAAGAAAAAAAAAATTTAGTGGAGGCGCAAGCAGGCTTTCGAAAAAAATATTCCACAGAAACGGCTTCCAGTTGGTAACTGAGAATTGGAGAAAAGCCATAGACTCAGAAGAAGTTGTCATAGCAGTATTTTTGGATTTGAAGAGGGCATTTGAAACGATTGATAGAGATATTTTGTTAGGTAAATTGAAGGCATATGGTATAACAGGAAGTGTTTTAGATTAGTTTAGAAATTATTTGTCTAAAAGGATGCAAGTTACAAAAGTTAATGACACTATTTCATCAAAAATTGAAAATACGTTAGGTGTTCCACAGGGCAGTATCCTGGGACCACTTCTTTTTATATTATACATAAATGATTTACCTGCCATAGTCAAAAAATGCAAAATTCAGATTTTCGCCGATGACACTATGATTTATATAAGTACTAAAAATATTCAGTTTGGTATCTCTTATATAAATGAAGACTTGAAGCTTGTCTCAAAATGGTTAGCATCTAACAGACTAAAATTAAATGCAAGTAAAACTAAAGCCTTGTTAATCGGAAAAAACAATGTACAAATGTTCAACTGAATATTGATGGTGAAGATATTGAATTCGAAGAAAATTTTAAATACCTGGGGGTTTTTGTTGACTCTCGATTAATTTTTGATATTCATTATGAAAAAGTTATAAATAAGATTAGTAGTAAAGTGGGATATTTATCGAGAGTTTCTGGATGTCTGAGTTCATATAGCAGAAAAATTATCTATAATACCATCATTCTTCCAAATTTCTTGTACTGTTCGACTATTCTATATTTAGCAAATAATTCCATTTTTGAAAGACTGCAAATTTTACAAAACAAGTGCATGAGAATAATACTAAATAGAGATAAATATACTCCAATTAGGCAAATGCTTAGCAAATTAAAATGGCTCAATGTAAAAAATTTTATCAAATATCTTGTAATGATATTCATTTATAAAGTAAAAAATAATATATTTCCATCAAGTCTAACTAATTTAACATCATCAAATGTCGACCATCATTTACATAATACCAGAAATAAAGATGACTTCCATTAAATGACCAAAAAGTATAACATATGCTACAAATCTGTATTCCATCAAGGGTTGATTGAATATAATAAATTATACTCGGAGATAAAAGACCAGAAAACTTTGACAAAATTTAAAGTAAAATTGAGAAATCACTTGTTAAATCTACAATTAGAGGTTGCCCAGCATTTACATCATAAACCATATGGCTTGAATTTACTAGTTCTAAGTTGTTTACAATTATTCTGTTTATGTAGCCAAATGTGCTAAATAAATCTTTCTCTACTACTACTACAAATTCGTGTGTGGTAATTATGACACACTAACTAAATTCGCAAGAATTATTGCTGAAGTAACGTGTGTTTCGGTTTATAGGAACACAGGAATGTTGAAATAAATAAAATACGTTTATATCGAAAATATTTTATTACTTCAAATAGACATTTACTTACATTGAGTAAATGGAGGAATGTTTCAAAATACTGAATTTAAATATTACAGGGCAAATACAAAAATAAAATCCTATTCTAGCCTATTTGTTACAATTAATAAGATATTTAAAAAAACATTAAGCAGTCTTTTGTTTACAATAACACAAATCTAATTAACTCACAACACAAATATCTAAATATGGCCTTCAATCACAAAACAATTATATAATCAGTTGTAGAACTGCATGAATTTGATTTCAAATTTCAATGAAAAAATAAAACTATCGATCAATTCATAGAACAGACGGCTTTAAGGAAAAACGGATGCTACGTCATTTTATAATGGCAACGTAGCGTCCCATCTGGCGACACTGGAGGCGCCGGGCGTTGAGAGAGACAGGGGAACATGTGGTCCGCCTTCAGTACAAGTTTGAACTCGCTTGAGTCATTTGGTTGGCCGAAGCGGAAGGCTTTCATCTTCAAGAACCGAGCTAAAGAGCTAAATTTGACTCACACCACTGTTCATCAGATCAAAAACATCACGATAATGCTCCTTGTCAAACAGCAATTTCAATAAACAAGTTTTTGTCCAGTAAAAACATTCATGTGGCTCCTCAGCCTCCTCATTCGCCTAACTACAGTTCTTGTGACCTTTTTCTCTTCCCCAAACGGCTGTAACCGACCAGCTGAACGCTATTCCAGTATCGGAGTTCCAGCACTGCAATGAGGAGTGGAAGAACCGTCTCAGAAGGAAGCCATTTTGAGGGTGATAATAAAAAATTGTAATTATATTTGGATAGAAAAATTAAAAAAATAAGTCTCATCACTTAAGATACAGACCTCGTATGTTTTTGAACGCTACGCATCCATTATTCCGAAGAATCGTCGTTTCCGTATTACTAAAAAAATGCGCATGCAGACATACGTCAAAAAGTCATCTTATCTTACAGCCACGATACAAAAAGACACACAAAAATAAATAAACAAGTACCAAAAAACACTTAAAGAATACTATCTACAGCGCTTTCAATCTCATTATCATTAAGACAATTTGGTAACATTTGTACGTCATCTTTTCCAACCGACTCGGCTTGATCAATACTCTCGTAGCTGATAGATTTAATCGCAGTATCCAGTTCTTCAGATTTGCGATCAAATACACTTGATTCTGAGTCGACTAGTTCGCCGGTTTTCTTAGATTGTGACGATTGCGATCCTGAAGTGGACCTACCCTCTGCTGAAGATCCAGTTCTGCTACCTAGGAATTACATACAGTGGGTAACAAAAGTTTGGAACGCATCGAATATCTGACGAATGACTCATCTATTTTTTTTTAATTTATAGGCTTGGGTTAGAAACCATAACCGGATCCGTTGATGATATCCACGATGTTGCCAAATCTACAGTTTTTCAGAAAGCGATGGCAACTTTTGTTTTTCTTATGGAATGCTATATATTTTACTCGGTATTTGTATTGTCAGAAATGCTGAATACTTTTTATTAAACATACTTTGACGTAAACCTCATAGTTTTCGAAATATTCGCGGTCAAACATTAATATTTAAACAATAAAAAATGAGGTATTTTTTTCACCTAATGACCGCTATCGAAAGTAATTCCCTGTCATTGAAAAGTCCATTGAGTTATATTTGTAGAGTTATTGAGAATGATTCAATTAACTGAAACCGGGATAATAGAAATTCTAATGATTCTGGGTTATGGCGATCGTTTAAAGGTAAAAGGTCTACTTTTGCAAAAGTTTTGAGGAAATTTGAAATAACAGGACATGTAAAGAATGTTCGACGATCTGGCCGACCCAAAACAGCCACTGACGAAAATAACGCTTTGAACACTACTAACTACTTATGGTTTTGAACAGATGATAAGAGAGTACACGCGAAATAACCATTGTACTGATAACATTTTTATAAATATCAACATAGATTCAAGTGTAGCATCTATCGATTCAAATTTCTGTTCTGATCATCTGGGCGAAAAATTGATATTCTATCCTCCTGTTGTGACATCTCGCAAGTCAACCAAAACGGTGTGTAGACCTATCACAGAGTATATGGTAAGCTAATTTTCTTTAACCTTGTAGACAATTTGACGTTGGATTTCATTCAGGACTGCTCTTTGGACTGTACACAAAAATTTTAAATATACATTGATAACTTGCAAACTTGTATACAGGGTGGCACATCTAAAACGAAACAGACGCATTTACTGGCAGCTCAGGTTTTTTTTTGGAAAAACGCTCAGACCCGTCGATTTTGTTTTCGAGGGGGACACAAGTTTGGCAAAAACTCACTTTAGCACGTGCAGCCCCTAAGAGGGTGTGACACCACCCACAAAATCTTAAATGGAAAGGGGGGATCGAGGATACCTTATTTTAAAGGTCTTTCAATTCCCTTTATAATGATATAAAATTAATGTACTTCAGTTCAGTAGTTTTGAAGATTTATTGATTTAAAGCTTAAGTAAAACTAATACATCATCATTAGTGGAGATCAATACATTTGGCAGAAAAGTAATTTAAAAATGAAGAATGAACTGACCCGTTAGGCAAGTAAATGTTGAAAATGGCCACCATGACTCTCCATGCAATAATAAAGATTTTGGTCAAAACGTTGCCGCACATTTTGCAATATTTGAGGAGTAATTTGAAGGCACTCATTCACAATTCTTTGTCGCAGGCCTTCTAATGAGGTTGGCTGAGTAGCATAGATTTTGCTTTTTAAATGACCCCACATAAAGAAATCCAAAGGTGACAAATCTGGCGATCATGGGGGCCATTCAATGGCACCTCTTCTACCAATCCATCGATCTGGAAACGTCTGATCTTAATATGGTCGAACACGTAATGCGTAATGTGGTGGGGCACCATCCTGTTGGAACATCAACCTATTCGCAATGTACCGCCAATCATTCTGATTTTCAATTATGGCTGTTAATGCAGGATCTATGGCGTCTTCCAGTAGTTCCAAATACATTTCACCGGAAAAGCAAGTGTTGAATAGAAAATGTTCATCGTTTATAATTCGTTCACTCATATCTTCACAAAATTGTAATCGCCGATCAAAATCGTCTTCGTTAAGTTCTTGTACCAGGTGAATTTTATACGGATGAAAACTATGGGCCTTTAGAATCCGTTGGACAGTACGTTAACTAACACCACACACAGTCTCCAATTTGCGGGTACTTAACGTAGGATCTACATAAACTTGCCCTAAAACCCCCACTTCTATTGCTTCGTTCCTTATGGGCTTTTCAATGTTGCGTTTTTTATTGGCGACTGACCCAGTTTCCAGAAATTTAGCTACAAGTTCTAGAACATATTTTCGATGCATGTTACTGTTCTCATGTCGCTCATTAAATATTTCTACTGTTCTATTAGCGCACTGATTATTTCCGAAAAATATTTCGATAATTTCAACTCTTTCTGCTGTGGAATATACCATGGTTAATTTATATAATAAAGCGTTACAAGTTATTTTAGCAACAAAGTTTGGTCAAATCAATCGCAAACTATGTACTAAATGCCTACTTAAAGTAAGTACGAGATATTTCCTTATCTTTCTTCAAGAAATAACTTTTTTGCCACAAAAAAAGGCTCCTATAGCTATTTTCAACAACAAAATGATAAACAAACCATGGGCGTAGTGAAGAAAAGCATTTACTTATTAAGTAAATTCTTTTAGTCAAATTTCTTCTGAAAGTAGTACAAACTAATCCGATGTACCTATTAAAGTCTACTTTAAGCTCTAAATCAATAAATCTTCAAAACTACTGAACTGAAGCTCATGTATTTTACATCATTATAAAGGGAATTGAAAGACCTTTAAAATAAGGTATCGCTCGCCTTCCTTTCCAGTTAAGATTTTAGGGTTGGTGTCACCCCCGCTCCGCCCAGGGGGCTGCACGTGTTAACGTGATTGATTTTTTGCCAAACTTGTGTCCCCCTCGAAAACAAAATCGACTGGTCTGAGCGTTTTCAAAAAAAAAAACTGAGCTGCCAGTACATGCGTCTGTTTCGTTTTCGATGCGCCACCCTGTATATAAAGCATTCCCAGAAAAAGTACTGCCTAGTAGATGCGATTTGACATACAATGCAAACTGGTTTAATGGCGACTTCAGAACATTTATTTTTCCTAAATTCCTTGTATAACAAAGAAAAATTTGTTTACATGAAAAAAAGACTAAACAGCTTTAAGAAAAAATACAAACAAAAAATAAATGCAATGAAAAAAAATTATAATGAACAAATCATTAAAAGGTCTAACAACCCAATGAAGACTATGTGGGAAATTGTTAGGACAAACAAAAATACAAGCACTGGTATGAATACGTTAAAAGAACCAAATGAATTCAACGAGTTTTTCTGTACCATTGCCAATAAACTGTTAGAAAACTTGGATGCAGGAGAGCTACATCCAGAAAGTAATATACTTCCATCAATGCGCTACTTCAACTTTAAAAAAGTATCATTTAATGACGTCAGAGGTGCTATCAATTCTCTTAAAAGAAAGAACTCTAAAGATATTTATGATATGAGCACTCTTTTAATAAAAATGATCAAAAATCTAATCATAATGCCTCTAACCAAATTAATAAATATTTCCAGTGAGTGTGGCATATTTCCCGACTGCTTAAAACGTGCAGTTGTGATACCGGTTTTCAAAAATGGCGATACTGACGATATCGCAAGCTATCGCCCGTTATCATTACTTCCTATTCTCATCAAAATTTTCGAAAAATGCTTGGGGAGACAAATGGTCTTACATTTTGAAACTGAAACATGTTCTATTTGAACCAGTTTGGATTTCGATCTCAAAAAAACACGACCTTCGCAGTTTTGGAGTTGGTAGACGATATATAATTGACATTTTTGAAGAAAAAGAATTCTTGCAGACCATATTCTGTGATTTGAGCAAGGCATTTGACTGTGTATCACATACCATCTCAATCAGAAAGCTCAGAATGTATAACTTCGGAACAGCTTCTTGCAGACTAATCAATTCGTATTTAACAAATAGAAAACAGTTAGTAGAAATCGGAATTAAAACGTCAGATGAAAAGCTTATTGTACCCCAGGGCTCAGTTCTTCGGCCGATTTTATTTCTAACATATATCAATGATCTGCCGAGCCACAAAGATGGAAATTATATACTATTTGCTGATGTTACTGCCAACTCTGTTAGATCAAAAACATTTCTGAGCTTCTTGAACAAGGTGTGATCGCACAGTCGACTGCCAAAAACTGGTTTGATCCAAATAAGCTGACACTGAATGAAAACAAGACAGTTAATATGATATTTTCATTGAAAGATCCAGAAACACAACATATAGAACATACCATGAGTTCTTGGACTTTAATTTTTGATATGTGCTGTACCTGTTATTGCTTTTTAAATTATTTGTATTATTTAACTGTACCTTTTTATATATACATTTGTAATCTGCAAAGTGGATTAAAAGATTATTATCTATGTATACTATAAACATTTTGTTACAGACTGACGTGTGTAAGTACAGTATGTACACTAACACCAATGAAGTATTGTATATTTTAGTGAGCATAGCGGAAAGCCCCCACCTTTCTACTAGAACATTTGATGAAGATAATACATCTCACATCTCTGTGGAACGCATTTTAAGGACGGAAAAATTCCATCCTTACAGAGTCACCTTGGTTCAAGAGCTAACAGATGATGATTTTGACAGGCGTTTACAATTTTGTGAGACCATCATGGACATGTGTAATAGAAACGAACATTTTTTTGTAGGAAATAATGTTTTCGGATGAGTCAAATTTTTCTTTGAACGGAACTCTTAATCGCCATAACTGCCGCTACTGGGCTAGAGAAAATCTTCATTCGGTACGGCATCATCACACACTATTTACAAGAAATTACTGTTTGGGCCGGTATCATAGGTTTTTCATGGAAGAAAATTTAAACGCTGAAAGATATTTGCATCTTTTGTGGAATCACGTTGTCCCAGCTTTGGCGGAGATATTTCCCAATCCTTGTAAGTAAAATTTTTTAGCACCAACGATAAAAAATATCAATATTGCTTTCTTTTAGTAAATAATAGAGTGCCCAACGCTAGAATATGGCTTTGGTTCTTGGATCAAACACTTTTGGAAGATGTATAGGTAGAAGAGGTCGTCTGAATGGCCACCTAGGTCTCCTGACCTCACAACCCTCGATTATTTTTTGCGGGGCACTTGAAAAATATAGCATACAACACCAAACCATTTGGATCAACTAAAACCCATTCCGAATAAAACCAGGAAATAAACAATGATTCAATAAAATTGGTATACTAAACAAAGGACTACCTACCTGATAACTTCAAGGCAAACTTAGGAAATTCTTATTTTTAAATAACTAACGTTTGGCAATGTTCAAGTAGTATGCCCAAAAATTGATAGCAAACTGACAAAAAAAATAAATGACATGTCGGGCACGGTGACGTCACTGTAAAGTGAGACGTTTAAATCTATGTCATTGACATTGTACTTTTAAATATTTAATTAAAAATAAAACTAGACATTTCCATGAATGAAATATGTGTCGACTGTGTTATCGTAAACAATGGACAAGAAATACAAAAAATTCAAGCATATCCCCAATTCAATTAAAAGTCGTACCTGAGCAAAAACGGTGCTACGCACCGTGGAGCTGCCAACCACTTATGGTTGCAACTATATACGTTTGGACCACTGTTTTTAGGAGCCAGCGTTGCCATGTCGCCAACTGTTGTCGCACGCTATGGGATTTATTTTTCCATCGATTAGAAATTCTGAGAATACGAGATCTCAGGAATAATTACGAAGAAGGATGAGGGCGATTTTTCTTTGAACATCTTTTTCGAGAGTACGTTAATCAATGGTTTGACACTGCATAGAATAAATAACTAATAAGATTTATGTTGTCTACGTATAACAAAATACAAAATGAATATTTTTTTGTAGATTGTACATAAATTACTTGATATAAAAGCTAATATGAATTACATAATACTGTTATTGTCGAGGCTTTTCAAAAATATAAATTATCTGCATATACAGTATACATACAGATATTATCTGAATATTTTCCTAGCCTTTGTCAATATAGTTATTAAGATTTAAGATTGAGAGAAACAAACGGAATTTTGTATGCTCTTATATTAAAATTATAACCTCTTACAAATAAGACTTAAAAAAAGTTTTTCGTTGATTTTACACCTTCACGGATCGCTGAAGCATAGAGAGAAAATTATTCCGTTTCTATATTTTTGGTTAACTAAAATATAGTTGGTGTTTATTATAATAATCATGCCTGATGAACAGATATTAAAAAGCGATTTTCGTTGATTTTAGACTCGCGTGGATCGCTGAAGCGAGAGAAAAGTATAGTTCAACGATTATATTTTTATATAAATCACATCACTTAGCCCCCTTGGACTCAGGTACGTTCTTTCCAGGGTTGATGAAAGCCACCCCAAATTGTTGAAGATTTGTTTGTTTAATATTTATTTAGCATGATTGCTACAATTAGATTCTTCTAAAAAACTAATCAATTACATAACATACAGATATTCAGAAAAAAAAACAAAATTTGCATCTCTAAGAATTTTCATTGTCCATGAAATATTCTTTAAATTTTCTTTTAAATATCTTTAAATTACAAGTAGACTTTATATCATTATTTAGTTTATTAAATTCAAGTAATCCTTTGTGAAATATTGATTTGCTAGTTAAATTACTATTACAATTTTGTAAATCGAAATCTATATTTCCTCTTGTATAATAATTGTGGTAATGATTATTCAATTCTATGTAGTGTTCTAAATGTTCTGGCAAAGATGATTTTTATTTTAAATATAAAAATAAGAACCAAATACGATATGAAATTTTTTTATATTCAACCACTGCAATTCTTGTAACATAGATTTTATTTTGGTGTTTTATTCAATATTATTCTTATGGTGATACGACCCATAAAAGTTTACTTATTATAACCCATGGAAGGCCAACACTCCCCAAGAATGTCAATACTTGAAAAGAGATAGAAAGTGGCCGTGGTCCAGTTATTTATTCTTTAACACTGATAGAAGAGTCCCTCCTCGGGTCATTATTAGCTGTAAAAGTACGGAAGTGTCGCTGACGTCTACCAGCCTCATATCTAAAGACTAAGTTAACCTTGTGATGAAACGTTTAATAATAAAAATCTTGGAACGTATTTTGTCGAAATCAGATGAATTCACAAAATTATTCGATAAAGGTCAGTTGCAGTTAGAATTTGAGATTCTATTCTATCCTATTGACCTCCAGGGTAAGCAGAACAGATGTCTTATCTTCCTGCCAACACCCCCCACATAATGATGGCATATTAAGGAGCTGACAGTGCCCAGATGAAATCTTGCTTAATTTCCAAAATGGAATAACGAACCTTTTTACATGAATGACTTTAGAGTTTCTCAGTTTAGGCAATCTTTCTAATTATTTTACCTTCAGTATCGGAAACACAGCTGCTAGAATCTTCGCTTGACGAGCTCTGGTGTCCAGCACCATTCAATTTTCCATTGGGTAACGATTTGGCAGATTCTACTGAATCATTACTATCTTCATTGTCAGTCGAAGAAGAATCATCCTCCTTATTTATATTCAACCTTCCATCACAATCTTCAGCCTGGGATTCTGATGAACATTCAACTTCTTCTATAAGACTGTCATAGTTTATTCCGTTTTCACTTTGCGATTTTGGTTCATTTTTGCAGTCTTTCAGTCCATTTGTTGCAGGATTTTCGTTTACTTTGCCGATGTTTGCAACGTTTTCTAACAATTTCCAGTCAAAGTTTTCATGGATTACCATGTGAAGACGAAGTTTGGAACTGGCATTGTGATACCTGGAAGTTTTTGAAATTAGCATACGAAAAAGTTATGAGAAGCTGTAATATACAGCGTAATTCAAAATTCACGGATACTCGATGGATATAAAAAATTAGGGGCGTCGTGAAGGGGTGGCCCGGTGATTCCCTCTCTATGCGATCCCCTCTATGCTCAGTTCGAGCCGGAGCGCTCTGCGAGTAAGTAGGATTTACGGGTGCGGGTAACTCACCATGCTCAGCACCAATATTGTTCCACTGCATTTTATATTCTAATAAGCACACTGGAAAGCAGCTTATGTATTCAATAATACTGCATAATTAGTAAGTTTTTTTTTCAGAGGAGTGGACTTGCAAGATGCAGAAGATGCTTAGAATGTTTTTTTAATAATATTTTTCTAGCAAATTAAATCATTATATCTAGAATAAATTTTCTTCATAAACCCAATTTTATATAAGCATTCCTACAGGTTTTGCTAAAATACCCAATGAAGAATTTTCTATATACACTGAAAATCTGCATCAGATTAATGCTTGAAAATCCGTACATAATTACGAAAAATATTAGATATTTCATCAAAATATAAAATTAATGTTTAAAAATCTTTCCTCATATGTTTTCTATATATACTAAGTGACATATAAATCCGAACACCCAGTTTAAATGGTTTTATTTTAATAAAATTTTGTATAAGTATTTAATGAAGCATAGTAAGTAAATGATAAAAATTTCAAAATGATTGCACTGCTTTAAAGCCCTTTGACCTTTAATAACGTGTGGATGCACCCTGATGTGCTACGTATTCTCCAACGCACCTAGGCATGCTTCTGAACAGGTGGTCAGTGTCCTCCTGTGGTATCTCATTCCAGGCAACCACCAACTCCTCTCGAAGTGCTTCTAGAGTCTGAGGAGGACGTTGCAAATTGAGCAATCTCCTACCCATCATATCCCACACGTGCTCAATTGGGGATAAGTCGGGAGATCTTGGTGGCCATGGTAACAATGTGACATCATTATGTTGAAAGAAGTCTATTGTGACTCTTGCAACATGTGGTCGGGCATTATCTTGTTGGAAAATTGGATCTGCCAGGGTGTCAAGATACGGTAAAAGATGGGGTTCTAGAACTTCGTGGATATAACGCTGCGCGTTCATGTTACCTCTGATGAAGATTAAAGGTGACCTGGAACCATAAGCTATAGCACCCCAAACCATAACTTCAACAGTGTGATGAACATGTCTTTGAACAAAAAACTGTGGATTCCTCCTTTCACCACGTCGCCTTCTAACCCTGGCACGACCATCGCGCATGCCTAAACAAAATCGAGACTCGTCACTAAAGACAATACTGTTCCATTCCTGATCCCAGAGTGACCGTTGTCTGCACCACTCAAGGCGATTACGTCGGTGTTCTCGAGTTAAAGGGAGGACCTAGTGTGGCCGGTATGAAAACAAGCCAAAACTTCTCATTCGTCGGTAAATACTTCGCATGCCAATAGGTCTTCCATGTTCTGCAAACCATTCATTTGCAATGGACCTGGTAGTGGAGAAACGGTCCCTTAAGGCCAATAATCTTAGGCGGCGAGCTGCACGGTCTGTTGTTCTACGGCGGCGTCCAGTGCCCCTTGCTCTTTGCGTACGGCCTTCTCGAAGCCATGCCAGACAACACCTAACCACAGTGTCTACACTTCTTTGCACTCTAACTGCAATTGCCCGAAAAGAAAGTCCAGCTTCCCGGAGTCCCACTATACGGCCCCTATCAAACTCACTAAGTTGACGAAATCGTACAGGTCTCCGTACTCTAGGCATCGTATCCGATCGTAAAGGATGTCAAGAACCAAAATCCGCCAACGTTGATTCTTTAATGCGGCTGAAATATTCATTTTTAGAGCGTTAGTGAATTAAAAAAAAGCAGAATAAAAACCGGAATGTCCAACTGATAAGGCTGAAAATTTTTTCACTTGTTATTTACAGTAAGATAAATACATTCACCAACTTTTATTAAAATAAAACCATTTAAACTGGGTGTTCGGATTTATATGTCACTTAGTATATTTGGAAAAAATATCGCAAAATATATGAATTATCTATACTACAAATATCTATAATGAATATTTTATAAATATATAAGAAACATATTTAATAAATATTAAAAAATCTGTCGATACAAATATTTAACATGCATTTAATAAATTTTTAATGCTATCGGGGTTACTCAACCGGGTCATCACTGGATACGAGTCTTGCATCTACGAATTCGATGTGGAGCTGAAATCTCAAAGCATGGAGTGGAAGCAAGCAGGGGAATCAAGAACAAATAAGTCGAAAAAATCAAGGTACAATATGAAAACAATGTTGATTGTTTTCTTTGATTCTCGGGGCATCGTTCACCATTAATTTGTCCCTCCCGGCCAGACAGTGAACGGATATTTCTAAACTGCAGTTTTGTGTCGTCTCAGAGCTCGTGTGGCCCGAATTTGGCACAAGCGGGTAGGTGGATCCATCACAACGCGCCTGCTCACACGTCTCTCGTTGTGCGTGAGTTTTTCTTCCCGAAGCTCAATCACTGTGATAGAACACCCGCCTTATTCACCCGATTTAGCTCCTTGTGACTTCTTCCTCTTCCCAAAATGCAAAATCGTGCTTCGGATGCATCACTTGGGGGATGTGGAAGCCATCAAGGCAGAAACGACTCGGCAAATGAAGAGCCTCACAATTGAAAACTTTCAGCGATATTGAAATGATGATATTGAAATACCTGAACAATTGTAAAATAAAGTTATTATTCCACTTTTATAGATATTTTGCGGGCAAACCTCGTAAGTTCAATATCTATGCTCCCCATTTTACAAGAAAACGAAAATGTCGTAGCAAACCTAAACATTGTAGGGCCCAATTTCCTTCTTTGCTAGTCGTTGTTACACGTGGATGCTAGGTTTTTTTGGGCACTGAATACAAATATGACCATCAAAAAGCTTCATTTTCATCCAATCGGAAACCTCAAAATATTACCGAACTTCCGTGGTAAGTGAGGTCCTGAACCCAGACTGATAGGAATGATATACAAATAAAACAACATAAAGAAGCAGTACCTTCCACAAACCCTGCATATAAACTTCGACCCGAACCCTTGTCCATGCAACAATGTGGGATGCTCGTGCAGCAAATGCACTTGCAACGCCGCGTAACTTTTGTTCATCTTCAAACAAATGCCACAAACTGTGGCCGCTTCTGCCTTGTGGCACCTGATGTAGTGCTGCCACAAATGTTTCTTCGCCGGCCATGTTTTGGAACAGATTTCGCAACATGATGGATCGTTGCTATTTACGTAGACTGTTCTTTTTGAAGAGTTGACCACAGGTTGTGCGGTTTCGTCTTCTTTTTGATACTTTTTGGTTTCTATTGAGGTTTTTTGAATATTGGTATTCATTCCTGGTTGTTCGTGTTCGTATTCTTTTAGGTCTTTTTTTGCTTCTAATTGGGATGCCTGAATACTTGTATTTATGTAAGCCATTCTGTTTTTGGAGTTTACTAAGGGGTGCTGGGATTCATCTTCTTTTGGTTCACTTTTTGAGTTTTTTGGAGCCTTGCTTGCGTTGCTTGGTTCTGGCTTGGTTAATGGTTTGCCCAGAAGCCGTTGCTCTAAAAGAGACATCTTTGTGTTTTGAGATAGAGTGGCCCGAGGTTGTGTGATGGTGGCTGATTCATCATCATCATTTCCAGATTCGTTGTTGCTCTCTTCGACTTCTTCCATTTCACTAGCTTCATTTTCTTGTTTCACTGCTACGCCCATCAGAGAAAGCATGGTACTTTTTAGAAAATTCATAGCGCCATTGCCATTTACACCTGAAAAAATTGGTAAAAGTTCAAAGTGTACTGGTGGGAATAAATACTATTGGATCCCATGTATATATTAAGAATTACGTCTACATTTTCAACGATTAAGATCATGAACATGGTCCATCTGAAAGCGAGTTGAATTCATCTGGTATGGATGCAAAGAACCATGCAATTCCCTTATGGAAATCGAACTCTGAATATAGATATACAGTTGATTGTATTTAGCGATGGATTTTTTGATTGGACACCTCAATGTCTGTTCACTTGTTCCTAAATTTAATAGTTTGCGGCAACATATACTTTCTAAGAAATATGCTATGTTTGCATTATCAGAAACGTGGTTGAATGACAGTATAAGCGATGATACAGTATATATTCAAGGTTATGATCTTGTTAGGTTTGACAGAAGTACCAGGGGTGGAGGAGTAGGTTTGTATATAGATAGTAAGTTGAAATATTCACAAATTGAGGTTTCACATAATATTGAACAACTTTGGGTCTCAGTTTCACTTAAAGGTAAATCATACGCAGTTGCAGTAGTATATCGACCACCACATTTCAATTATAAATATTTTATCGATGAACTTGAAGAATCTTTATGTGTGGCTATGCTCCGTGAGGACAAAGTGATATGCCTAGGAGACGTAAATATAAATTTCCTCGACACTGAGGCTGCACCTACAAATTATATGCTTGAAATGTTAGATTCTACAGGTATACAGCAAATAGTGGAAGAAGCTACTCATATTACTAATACATCGGCGACATTAATAGATGTTATTCTTTGCAATGATCCTTTAATGATCGAATCTAAGCACGTTGGCGGATTAGATTTAACAGATCATGAACTGATTTCGTGTAAGGTACTACAAGATAGACAAAAAATTGAACCACTCTTTTACACTTATCGGAGCTTTAGGAGTCTTGAAATGGATAAATTACATGCTGATTTGCAAAAGCTTCCCTTAATTGACATATGTTACTTGTCAAATATTGACGAAAAGGTGAACCTGTTCAATCATTTAATTCTAACTTTGTTTGACAAGCACATTCCTTTGAAAACGTCCAAAATCACTAAGCCTAAAGCTCCCTGGCTGAAGGATGATATAAGGAATTTGATGTGTAGTAGGGATGCAGCGAGGTCTAAGTATAGAAAAAATCCGAACGATTCAAATTGGAATGCATATAAAAAACTAAAAAACAAAACCAATCATGCTATTCTACATGAAAAAAGAAAGTATTTTGATAAAATTGCTCAGAGTAAGGATAAGAAATCTTTGTGGCGAGAACTTAATTCGCTTAGTATTAAGTCACAGAAGTCAAATATTCCTATTGATTTGCAAGATGTGGAACATATAAATAACTTTTTTATTGACAGCATACCTCGTGTGGCGTCTGGTAATCATATTGCTATATATTATGATCAAAACAAAATATGTAATTCAGAGTTCAATTTCAAATTGGTATCTGAGCAAGATGTATTTGACGCATTAAGTAGGATAAAAAACACCAGACCAGGAAATGATGGCATTAGCATACATCTCATCAAATTGTGTGTCCCGTATATTTTACCATATTTAGTACATCTTATTAATACAATTTTTCTGGAGGGAAAATATCCAAAGTGCTGGAAAGTGGCCTTAATAGTGCCAATTCCAAAATGTAAGGAAGCTGAACAGCTATCAGATCTTCGTCCAATAAATATTCTAGCTGGTCTCTCGAAATTGGTTGAAAAAATTATTGAAATACAATTAAGAACACATATTGAAAGTCAAAGTATCCTTCCTAAAACACAGTCAGGTTTTCGTCCAGGATACTGTTGCACCACTGCACTTGCTAAAATAACTGATGATATCATTCAGTCGAATGATCTGGGTGAGTCTACCGCTTTAATACTATTAGATTTCAGCAAGGCATTTGACACAATTAACCATGATGTTTTGCTGTCTATCTTAAAGTCATGTGGATTGTCTACTGACAGCGTAAAACTTTTTAATTCATACTTAAGTGGCAGATCACAGTGTGTACAACTGAAGAATGAAATATCTAGTTCAAAGCCCACTACCACAGGTGTACCGCAAGGATCTATACTTGGACCACTGCTCTTCACTATATATACCAGTCAGATCCTTAAATGTTTGGAATTCTGTAAGTCACACATTTATGCGGATGATACCCAGCTGTACCATTCTTTTCCTAGTTCAGATTGGCCAGCTGCCGAGTTGAAAATAAACAGTGACTTGACTAACCTCTCTAAAAGATTGCAAGAGCATTCATTAATATTAAATCCAAATAAATCAGCTGCTGTGATCTTTGGTAAAGACCGTTCTTATGTGATTGAGAATTTAAATATAACCATAAATAATATTAGATTAAAATACTGTGATAAAGTTAAAAACTTAGGCTTAACAATGGATTATAATCTGAGGTTTCGTGAGCACATATCAAACTGTATCAAAAAATCTTATCTGGCTCTAAAATTATTATATCCTCACCGAAATTTTCTCAATTTAGACATCAAAAGAATCCTTTGCGAAACCTTGGTTTTATCACAGTTTTCGTACTGTGTTCCAATTTATTCTGCATGTTTAGATTGTGATACATTCATGCGAATACAGAGAACACAGAACTCATGCATACGTTTTATATATGGCATAAGAAAATTTGAAAGAGTTAGTCATAAGCTGAAAGAACTCCGGTGGCTAAATATGAAGGCTCGTTTTGAGATATTCACAATATGCTTTTATCATAAAATTTTAACTCTCAGGCAGCCTCATTACCTCTACGAGAAAATAACATTCAGAAAAGACATCCATTCCGTAAATATTCGTTCGAAACAAAACATTACCGCTCCATTCCACAGAACTAAATTTTATGAAAGATCATTTACGTATAATATATATAAGCTATACAATCCTATCCCCCAGTACCTCAAATCATATGAAATTCACAAGTTCAAAGCGGTTTTGCGTGATTCTTACCTTGAATGTATAAAGTAGAATTATTCTTACTGCGGAATTTCAATTTTATTTTGTTTGCATTCCATTATTTTATTTATATTTTTTTTTTTCATATGATGCATAAATGTACGTATATGTATTTGTATATCATTCTAGACTTTTACATTTACCACCACGTTTTCTCTTTGCTCTTTTTTTCAAACCTAATTGTCGCTCATATTGGCGTTTGTTTATGCGGTATGTATGGGTATATATGTATATGTATATATGTGTATATGTATATATATATTATTCTAGACTTTCTTTTTTTTTTTTTAAATCTATTACCACATGTCTCACTTTTCTATCTTATTTTTTTTTAAAAACTTACATGCTGTTCATATTGATGTTTTTATATGGTTGATGGATGTATTTACTGGCATAATGTTTCTTACAATTCCAAGGGATGAGTGGAAGAGCACTAGATAGTGAACTCCCCCTTGTGGTTTTCAGACAGTCGACATTTGTTTTATTTATTTTTTTTTTTATATTTTCCTTTTTTTTTGGTTAATACTCATGTTTCTCTTTCTGATTTTTTTTTTTTTGAAAACTGTTTGGAAATAAAGGCATTTATTATTATTATTATTATTAAATCGAACTTCGTTTAAACTGGTTGAATTTATGATATGTGGCATATACCACCGTCCTGAACAAATGTCTCAATGGGCACAACTTCATAAACCTTAAGGGTTGTGAGATAAAAATGTTTAAGTTGAATTATCTTACATTATAAAAGTACATAGCACATTCACCTTCTTTGAGGTCAAGTACACCATCCACCAGAGATGATCGGCATGGATATTATGTAAAAATCCTATAAAACGACAAAAAAAAAGCCATAAAATATAATCTTGCAGACTAGGTATTGTTTAGGGTGCAGTCATTCCACGTTTGCTCACTGGGATCGTTATGAGCGTCCATCTATGGATGAATGGCTCAACTACACGTCTACACACATTGTGAAGCCCAGTAGTCTATAGTTTTCATATCTGAGAAGAAAGTTGGTTGAATAGAGACATCGCATCTGGATGATTGTGTGTATTGGTCTGCATGTGTATAAAATCAGTGTTATGTGAGAAAATCTTGACTGCACATGCTGCCAATGAAGTATCTCTATTACGTCTTTTAAGTTTTGCATATAGCATCATAGTAGGCCGCGCGGATCGAAAGTCAGTACTGAATCTTAATCTCTCTCTTTAGTAAAGTTAAATTCAAAGTTTCACAACAACACGTGCAGTGTTCTCACTACAGTGAATTTTTAAGTGTCACCAAGTCATTAGAAAAATGGAACCCAACCGAGAACACACACACGTCTCTCGTTATTCGTGAGTTTTTGGCCCGAAGCTCAATCACTGTGACAGAACACCCGCCTTATTCACCCGATTTAGCCCCTTGCAACTTCTTCCTTTTCCTAGAATGCAAAATGGTGCTTCGGATGCATCACTTGGGGGATGGGGAAGCCATCCAGGCAGAAACGACTCGGCAAATGAAGAGCCTCACAATTGAAAACTTTCAGCGATATTGAAATACCTGAACAATTGTAAAATAAAGTTATTATTCCACTTTTATAGATATTTTTCAAGCAAACCTCATAAATTCAATATCTATGCTCCCCATGTTACAAGAAAACGAAAAGGTCGTAGCAAACCTAAAAACATTTTCGCGCCATAATTTATTACAACTTTCAGAGACAATTATCGCAACAAGAATGCCTTGCTGAGTTACTGTCTGTTTTCGGCAACGAAGCGCCACATCAGTCGACAATTTCCCGTTGGTATGGAGAATTCAAACGTGGACATGTGAGTCTTAGGCCCGTATCGTCAGTCGTCCCTACAATTGTAGGGCGCCTTTATGGCCTCCTTGATTGTAATAGTTTTCTACTTCTCAGTGTCAGAACTCTATTTTGAGGTTATGTCACAAACATCTATGTGCATCAAATTGTGCTTGCTTTTGAGTTATATCATGTTTTATCAGCCTGAAATTTCCTACAATTTAAAAAGAAAACATATCTTCACAATAGGAGAGCGCTGACGCTGACACGGGACAAGTGTAATCTAGAAATTTTTGAAGGAGAGAAAGAAGTATGACAATCAAGGAGGCCATAAACGCGCCCTACAATTGTAGGGACGACTGACGATACGGGCCTTAGCGACAATCCCAGGGTGGGTGCACCAAAAACGGCAGTCAGCCAGGAAAACGTCGATGCTGTGCGCAAACTCATCATTAAAGATATACATGTGTCATATATGTGCCAAATTTTACATGAAGAATTAGGAGTAAGAAAATTAGTTTCTCGTTGGATACCCCACCTGTTGACTGAAGAGCAGAAAGCAGCCAGGGTTAATTGGTGTCAAAAAACGCTTGGCCGTTTCAATTCCGGAAACTCAAAAAATGTGTACAGCATTGTTAGTGGTGATGAATCGTGGATTTACTGTTATGAACCAAAAAATAAACGATAGTCGGCTGTTTGGGTGTTCCAATGTGAAGAAAAGCCAACAAAAGTCATCCGTTCTCGAAGTGTTTCGAAAAAGATGGTCGCGACATTTGTGTCAAAAGCGGGTCATATTGCAACAATTCCTCTTAATGAGCAAAGAACTGTTACTGCGGATTGGTATACCACCATGTGTTTGCCAAAAGTCATGACCAGCTTCGTAAAATCAACTCCGAATGAAGAATCATCCTCCACCAAGACAATGCAAGCTCGCACACAGCCCAAAAAATAAGGCAGTATTTAATGGAAGAAAACGTGGAATTATTGGGCCATCCTCTATATAGTCCCGATCTAAGTCCTATCAATTTCTTCACTTTCCCGAAAATTAAAAACAGACTGCGTGGTCAAAGGTTACAGTCACCAGAAGAAGCAGTTGACGCATTCAAAAATGCCGTTTTGGATCTGCCAGCAAACGAGTGGAATAAGTGCTTCGAAAATTGGTTCGAGCGCATGCAGATGTGTATTAATCTTCGTGGAGAATACTTCGAAAAACAATAAAGTCATTTAAAACTACCTACCGTGTTGTTTTATTTCCATATGCAAAACTTAAAAGACATCCCTCGTAGCTGTGCCCGACGGGTTATTTATATGTTGTCATTTCTGAAGTCAGGTTATGTTCAAAGTTATAAACTACGATTCTTTACGTTGAGGATTATTACGGGGAATCACCACCGCGCCCGCGTTGTGTGTAATTCAACAGTGTACAGTAAATATAATTATTTATCTCTCTCATTTTTGAAATTCAGCAAATTTGCATATGGAATTTCCAGAATGGATAAGAAAAACTGTATGCGCAACTAATTTCTAGCTTTGAATTTCAAGTAATTGTATTTGAGACGACCATAAAAAAAACGACAAATTGATACTTTTAAAGATACGTAATACCCGTGCCGGAACTCGTAAAAGATACAAAAATGGGGTTTAGAAGTAACTTTATATCAATTTTTATGACACAGAACGTCTAAAATAACCTATTACCTGAAATTGGAATATTTCCGCTATCACGATAAATGATTCATTCACGAGACGACAGTTTCATCAGCTACATATTCAGATTTCCAGTGTAGCTGATTTATACTGCAATTTAATTTTGAGTAGAGAATTCTAAGATTTTACAAAATGCCAAGACATTTGCGACAGAAGCATATTAGCATTGACTAGCGTATTCTCTAAGATGTCAATCCATATGCTGTATTCGGGCCTTCACACACAATTTTCATCATAACAACCATATTGCCAAGCAGCATTTGGTTTGACATTTCGTAAAATCTAAGAATTTTAACGAGCCTTCCAACAAATATTTGCCGAGCCGTGGGCTAATCGATCAAAAAGTACCAGTAAAATAATTCTAGACCTGCATAACGTAAGGTACATGGGATCCAACACTAGAGAAGATGGAAGTGAAACAAACCTTGACTATGCAACGTGACATCACAATGTGCCTGCAGTTGAGCAATATTATCAAATACCTCCAAGCAAGTTTTGCACGCTTTGAAAATTCTTCCGTGAGATTTGTTAAGATGGTCGTACGTTTTCCATTTTGAGCCGTAATTTTTGCCGCATACGGGGCATGACGTCAACGGTTTCAACTGATCTTTATGTGCTGTCAATAAGAAACAGTGTAATCAGTTACTGTATCAGATATTAGGTGTGAAAGCCTTGCGACTTCCCTTACATCAACGAAAAACATGATTACCTATTCCTACATGTTCCTTTAAAACATGCTGGGTTTCAAACAGTTTCAAGCAGATGCCACAGGATAAACTCAAAATTTTGCGATGTAGGCTCAAGATATGCATTTTCAATTTAATCTTGCTAGGTAGTGAATCGGCACAGAACTGACAGATATACGAATCTAAATGATTTCTTAAATGTTCATGAAGGTCGTCTTTGCTTCTCAGGATATTGTTGCATATTTTGCAGATCAGGTCGCAGTTTGGATGTTGAAAACGTATGTGAGCCACAATTTCACACTTGCTCTGTGCCTACAATAGACACATACAAATCAAATCAAACATAACAAAATATTTCTAGCCATTGAAATAGCAGAGTTGTAGAAAATATGGAATTCTGTATTAATGAATGGTACAGCAGAGCTCCATAACTGCTGACAGAAATACTACTACGATTTATTTTACAAAAATTAATACCTTTTGATTACAAAATTCACAGACATACTCTGAGTGGTAGTTGACGAGGTGCTTAGCTAAACTAACTCGATCCTTGAAAACTCTAGCGCAAGATTTACACCTCGTCAAGAGATCCTTTTGCAATCTTGGACGACAGTTCTTTCTATGTTTCTTCAACATCAATTTTTTATTGAATCCTTTGGAACATTTTGGACATTTAAATTCTCCTTCATTCTGAGGTGGAGAATAGTTTGTTATGATGTTTGTATACAGATCATGAGATGAGTCAATTTCCTTGGGTTCTTCCTTTATTTCTTGCTTAATTTCATATTGTTCCAACATTGGTTCATCTTGGTCTGAATACTCAGTTGAATCTTCATTTTCACTGGTAATTTTATCTTCTTGTTTAATCAACCCTTGCTTGATTTTCTGTATTTGGTCTCCTTCAGCGTTTACTTTCATATTTTTCAAGTGCATTTTATTAAAATGCTGTACAAGATGGTATTTTGAAGCTGATGTTTTGTAGCACATTTGACACGTAATACTAGGGTGTCCTTTATGCAATCTGTTGACATGTTTCCACAAATGTGAGTTGCGCCCATAGAACTTATTGCATAAATCACAGTGGAATATGTGGTGTTTACTTCTTCTGTGTGAGCTAAAACCTTGAAAGGTCTCAAAGTCAGTTGCTCCACACTCGGTACACGAAAATTTTGAGGATTTGTCAATGCAATGTATATAATCAGCAGGATCGAAAATTCTCATTTGCTCTTTGCAATCTTTTATCAAGAAATCGTGTACCAATACATGGTTTTCCAGCTCTCGGAAATTGTCGTTTCCACAGCCACATATTTGACAAATATACTTTGTTGTTTCAGATTGCAATGCATTGGACTGATGTGAAAGATTGTTGCCAAAGGTATGTTTTGATTGGAAATGTTGTAAAAGGTCATCTTTTTCAGTGAACATTGCTGGACAGAACAAGCATAGTAGTTGCTGTTGTGTTGACTTTACTTCAGTAATATGTTGATTGCCTTCTGAAAATTTTGTATGAATAAGTATGTATAGCAAATTTAGATATAGTCGAAATCACGAAAGATGACGATTACGTCATCATTTTAGTTTGTAGTAAAGACAAACGACAGCGATTTGTGAATATTTTTATTGAAATTTCAGATATGCTAGATAGAGACAAACAGAATTTTATTGTCTAAACGAACTGTATTGATAGTATGCATGTATCCGACAAAGATAGACGATGTTTTCATGTTGCATGATCGATCATATTTGAAAGATGAGTAGTTAGGTTATGTTAAAGCAGGTTAGGTTGTTTTCGAATAATACTTTGGTGTTTCTGTCTTAAGCTATTCTAATCATAACTGTTTTTTTTTTAACTCCGCACCAAGATTATTATTACTTAAAACCATGAATTAAAATGAAAATAAAAATAATCAGTGAAATAACCTAACTTCGCAAAATCATAATATAAATTTGTTGTCATCATTCCTGACATCGTGATTTTATCATCGACGTACGTCCATTGATTACTTCAGTAGAATTTATGGTGTGAGTAAAGGTCATATTTCGTGATTCTGACTATAGTTACCATAACAAGAAGGGAATGCACTGATATTATGCATTTTTTAAGTTTGTAATTTCAGGTTTTTATGGGACTGAAAAATTGTGGGACATAAATGCAATAGACATTCTTCAAGTCAACCTAAGGTCTGTTTGTGCAAGTAATTCGAAAAATATACACAAAGCAAGCATAGGTTTATTTTACAAAATAAAAGAGCCATGTTAAATATATTTCAAGAAAAAAATATGTGCCATTAAATACCTATATCACATTTCTTTAAATCAGAGATCCTCAACAAATCAGGAATTTTTCTTATAGCCTTCTCACCAATCCATTCAGTAGTTTCAAATGATGATAAGCTAGTTATGTCAATTCCATGAATCTCAAAAATATGAGCCACTAATGCCTTATGTTTTTTATAAGAGTTATCACAAAGAGCACACCTAAGAGGCATCACATTCTGTAACAAAGAACATTTTTGACTAGCTGCTGAAAATTCATAATCTTAAGTATACTACCAACTAAGGAGCATATCAAATTTCCTGGGCAGAAAGAAACAGGGAAAACCAAATTTGTCTGACGGCTTGGGTTCAATGAGTACGAGAGAGAAGCACGAGAAGTTGTGCATCAACACATGTTAGAAAGAGATAGAAGCTGGCTGAAGCGAGATGGTCAGCACTTCATTGCCTAGCAACGGGTAAGCAGACTGTCGTGCAGTCTGCCGCGTTGATAATATATTACAGCGGAAAATGTTCGCACAGGCTTCTACAATAGGTTAGGTTACTTTCAAGTCCAAGAAGGTCTGTTCGATTATTTAATTTAATGTTTAGTTTTCATTTTGATTGGTTTATTACAATTTTGATTATTCGAACTATCGCATATTTTCAAAATGCATCTTAATTCGAGGCGTTGGTGTAACATATTGGCAACGCGGCAGATTGCCATAGTCAAAAAATGCAAAATTCATATTTTCGCCGATGACACTATGATTTATATAAGTACTAAAAATATTCAGACTGGTATCTCTTATGTAAAGAAGACTTGCAACTTGTCTCAAAATCTTACAGACTAAAATTAAATACAAGTAAAACGAAAGCTATGTTAATTGGAAAAAAACAATGTACAAATGTTCAACTGAATATTGATGGTGAAGATATTGAATTCGTAGAAAATTTTAACTACCTGGGGTTTTTGTTGACTCTCGATTAATTTTTGATATTCATTATGAAAAAGTTATAAATAAGATTAGTAGTAAAGTGGGATATTTATCAAGAGTTTCTGGATGTCTGTATTGTTCGACTATTCTATATTTAGCAAATAATTCCTTTTTTGAAAGACTGCAAATTTTACAAAATAAGTGCATGAGAATAATACTGAATAAACATAAATATACTCCAATTAGGCAAATGCTTAGCAAATAAAAATGTAAAAATTTTTATCAAATATCTTGTAATGATATTCATTTATAAAGTAAAAAATAATATATTTCCATCAAGTCAAACTAATTTAACATCATCAAATGTCAACCATCACTTACATAATACCAGAACTAAAGATGACTTCCATTTAATGACCATAATGTATAAATTATGCTACAAATCTGTATTCCATCAAGGGTTGATTGAATATAATAAATTATACCCAGAGACAAAAGAGAAAATTTAAAGTAAAATTGAGAAATCACTTGTTACATATACAATTATAGGTTGCCCAGCATTTACATCATACAACATATGGCTTGAATTTACTAATTCTAAGTTGTTTACAATTATTCTGTTTATGTAGCCAAATGTGCTAAATAAATCTTTCTACTACTACTAGCTAGGCAACGCAGTGATGAGATTCGCTATCCAGCTGGCTTCTATCTCTATCTAACATATGTGTCTATACACACTTCTCTCTTGTACACACTGAACTCAAGCTGTCAGACAAAGTTGGTCCTCAGTATACCTATATCCTGGGTATTAGGAGAACCATCTAATTAACAAATCAAGAGGAATACAGAGCCCAAATAAGTGCTGAGATCATTAAGAACTTGGAAAATGGGATTCTATCTAATACCTCCAACATGGGAGCCCACAAGATTTTTCTCAGAAGGGGCCCATTAGACATCAGCAAGAGGAAAGTTTTTATATATTCTGACAGTGTATCATCTACCAAAACATTTTCAAGAAGGTGGTAGTGAATTTTTTCCAAAGGGAGGCCAAGGTTCAATGATAAATAGCAATTATTAAGGCATTGGTAAACTTCTTCCTACATAAAAAATATTATTCTGCTCACCTGTGTATCACTGACAACTGGTAAACTAGCATTCTCGGTAATACTATATGGCACTTCACAGTTCTTTTCAATATCATTCGTTTTAGTTAAAATACTATCACCACTGCGCTGAAGAGAGATTGAATTATCTATCACAGACTCTGGAAACTCTAATTTTTTTGGTATCTTATTCTTTCTTCTATTTGTACTATCCCATCTACATATCTTAGGCTTAATTTGTTCAATATCTTCATTTTTTCTTTTTAAATTCTTTCTTTGGGAAATCTCACTAATCAATTTGCTTACACAGCTATTAGAATATCTTATTTTAGAGAACTTGTTTGGATTCAGTATCACTGAATCAACCAATCTATTGATTTTATTCAGGGTTAGTAATTTTTCTCCCAAAATAACAGTACCCTCATTTTCACTTTCTGATTGACAAGAATCAGATTCTATACTGTAATCTACTAACCCAATTTTACCAAGAATATATGAAGGTCTCGTATCTTTCAAAAAATTTACCCTGCTAGGAAATGTGTTTATATATGATTCCAAACTCTGATTATTCCCAGTTGTCACATCTAGAAAGTCATCAGTTTGTACAATTTTATTATTAGTCATAAAAGTGAGATCTGTCATGCACCCTTTTTCTTTTTTTTGTTTGGATTTTAGAGATGATTCACAAATGTTGTATTGTGTCTCAAGGATTATTGTATTTTGCAAGACATTTTTTACAAATTGATGGAAATTGTTCACATTTTTATTGCATTCTCCGCAAATTGTGTCTGGTAGCAGAGAGTATTGTGATACCTACAACATTTAAAATCAATCAGAGCAATTTGGGAATTCCAAGATACTATATTATACTTACGTCTAAAGGCAAGCATGTCTCAATTTTTTTCTTGAGACCATCAGTGTTAAATATATGTAGGAAGTCTGATCCTATTTTACCACACAACCTGCACAATTTAGCTTCCATTTCTACATTTTAAAATATTCAGAAGTAGCGGCTTCTTTCTTCTTAGTTCTCCATCATCATTGTTTGAGTGTTTTAATGGATTGACTTATGGCTGAGAAATATCACGATATAATTATGTATTTCCATTTCACGCATTTAAACTCATGTCATCATTTTGCCAATAATTTGAATTTGCAAATATAAACAACGCCATTTTTAAACATCCAAAATCCAAACAAATCACAGAACAAGTGAATTAAGAAGAGACCTGATAAGACTACCACAACTCGAAGCATACTCGCAGCTTTTGATAAAGTGGAGCAGTGTTGTCAGATCAATGAAATTTTTTAGATTAAAAGCATTCTGATTAGTGACAAAAATATGATCAGAATTTACTAACCATTATATACGCTACAACTTTTAGAAATTTGTGTACCGTTCGAAGGTTCAGAAGATACACAGGTACGACTTACGGGGATAAAATGCCCAAACACAAATATTGCATGGAATGGGAATCGGTAAGCCTTCCGTTACGTTATTTTGACAGCAACTGCAAATAATGAATGTTGAGGAAAAAAGAGTTTTATGACCACTAAAGTAACCTCAGTAATTGGGCAGTACTAATGCTAAAATTTCCAAACATTTAATTTTTCCATAGAAAAGTTTTTTTAATATTCACGTCCAAACCAGACCAGAAATGAATATGTTTAGAATCACAGAGTAGCAAAAGAAGCGATCACAAAACCAGCAGAAATACAGGGTGCGGCAGCGAGGACGGACGTTTTTGGGATGGGTAGTACTCTCCGCCTCCGTCTACGAGAGAGGTGGGGAGGGTGCCGTTTGACTCGTGAGATCCTAGCAACCTAGCATCATTTTACCAGTTGTCGTTATGGAGCCTTGGACGGTGGAGCACCGCGTTTTCGCCTATGAGTGACGAAGCCCACTTTCACCTAAACAGCATGGTTAACCAGCAGAATTGTCGTTATTGGGCTAATGAAAATCCGCAACAGTTACACGAAAGACCGCTGCACAGCCCAAAAGTAACGGTTTTGTGCGCTGTATCGCAAACTTGCATCATTGGCCCTTACTTCTTCGAAGACGGTAATGGTCGTGATGTTACCGTGAACTCAGAGCTACGTCGACATGATCACCTTCTTTCTCCCTGAATTACGATGGAGACGTGTTCCAATCCGACGTGTGTGGTTCCAGCAGGATGGGGCGACCGCCCACAGAGCCCGAGCATCCATGGACGTTATTCGCCCTCTCTTCCCTGGTTGCCTTATTTCCAGGTTTGGCTATGTTCATTGGCCTCCTCGGTCCCCAGATTTATCCATATGCGCTTTTTTCTTATGGGGACACCTCAAGGCTAGAGTATACGCGAACAAGCCCCGAACTCTGGACGAACTGAACGGCGAAATTCGCGTGGAAGTCGCCCAAGTTGAGAGAGCGATGTTGGAGAGAGTCTACGCGAACTTCCAAGAACGCCTCCAGCACTGCATCAACGATTTCGGCCACCACATGCCTGATGTGATTTTCTACACTTGACTGTCTCAAATGCTATTTCCTTGTGAACCTGATTCCATCAATAAATTTGTTATCGAGTAAAAATTAACTATTTTATGATTTTTTAAAAACCGTCCATCCTCTCTGCCGCACCCTGTATAATTCAATTTATTTAGGACACGGCATATTTCTTGCAATAACTGTTATATGTAATCTGAAACTAAACTAACTAAATAAATTTCTGCAACATCGCTGAATAAAGAAAATATATAACTTTACGAAATAAGCCCTCCCATAATCTCCGTAACGAAGCAGCAAAAATTCTCTTCTTACGGTTCTGTATGTTTAACACTTTTTTATGAGAAAGCTGCTGATGAATCATAAACCAAAAAAAATGGAAAGAAATAACGAGGAATACCTTGGCAAGTGCAAAATACATATCAAGAATTTTACCAAATCATTAACGATATGATTGAATTGTTATTATGGTAAAAGTTGAAATTCATCATTCTCTAATATTTTTCATCTAGCTGGCAACATTGACGAGTGTTCCATCACTGCGAGTATCTATCGAGTAACTATATGTCATTAGTCATTATACAGGGTGCGCCAGAGAAACTTACTTATTTGAAAGGTCAATAAAAACAAAATTACTTCAATTATTGTTTTATTTTTTTTTTATTCGAGAATACAATATCCCAATTTTTTTTTCATGTAGTCTTGAAAATGACATCGGATAAATGGCGACCTCCATTGCGCATACACTGATGAAGTCGATTTTTGAAATTCGTATCCACTCTTTGCAGCATATCAATCGGTATGTTGGCAATGGCGTCGCGAATGTTGTTCTTGAGGTGTGCTATGGTCCGTGGTCGATCGACATAAACCAGAGATTTCAAATAACCCCATAAAAAGAAATCGCAGGGAGTCAAATCTGGAGATCGTGCCGGCCATTGGAGATCGCCTCTGAGAGAGATGAGGCGGTCGGGGAAATGTTGTCGCAACAAATTCATCGAGTCTCGTGCGGTGTGTGCTGTGGCTCCATCTTGCTGAAACCACACGTTCCTAACGTTCATTTCTTCGAGTCTCGGAAGAAAAAATTCCTCGATCATGTTCCTGTAACGAGCTCCATTCACGGTAACTGCGCGTCCGTTTTCTTCAAAAAAATAAGGACCAATTATTCCCATTACCGACATCGCACACCAGACTGTAACTCGCTCACAGTTAAGTGGCTTCTGGTGAAGCTCACGTGGATTCACACCAGACCAATAACGCATGTTTTGCTTGTTGACGCAGCCGGAAATGTGGAAGTGAGCCTCGTCACTGAAAACAACGACCGCGTCTTCAGGCAGGTTGTCAACCAGCATTTCACATGCATTTTGACGGGCAACAAAATCGCTTTCAGTTAATTCTTGAACAACAGCCAATTTATAGGGATGAAAATGGAGGTCTTCATGGAGAATTCGTCGAACAGTAGTGTCAGAAATTCCCATAGCAGCTGCGTGTTTGCGAGCCGAACGCCGGGGAGAACGCACAACTGACTGCCTCACTCTTTCGACATTTTCCGGAGTTCTGATGGTCCGTTGAAGTCCATTTATGGGTTTAGCGACACTTCCACACTCCCGAAATGAGTCAACCCACGACAGAATCGAATTACGGCCAGGAACGAGTCTGTGAGGAGGAATTTCAAAGCGAGCGCGGAAGGCACGTTGCGTAGCAACAACTGAGCGACCGTTAGAAAAGAAGCTCTCGACTGCGAAGGCCCGCTGTTCTCTAGACCAGAGCATGATGGCAACTGACTGGAGCGAGAAATAAACTTGGGAACTTCCCCCTCCAGATGCGCCGCCTCTCGCCCCTCTACCCGCCCAGCTCACCGCGCGGGAATTTTTTCAAATAAGTAAGTTTCTCTGGCGCACCCGGTACTTTCTTTTTAATAAATTTATTAATGAGTACAGTACCATCTATTATCGAAGTTAGGAACTAATATGAAAAAACTTCTACGAGGGTCGTACGCTATGAGCCTTTCAACGTCTTTGGTCCCTACATGAAAATTAGCTCAGAGCTCTAGGTAACATCACTGTTAGGGCGGATCGAGCGGGGTCATGGCCTCCAATGGGCGATCCAGATCGACCACCTATTTTGTTGGTCTCAGAAAATTGCGATGATGGTATCTCAACACTGAAAAGTATTTATGCACTCTTGATAATAATACTCTAATATATACCACCAATTAGTGTAGGGACAGTAGAGAAAATGTCCTCTATTCTTAGGAGGTTCAAAACATGCTTGATAGTGTCTATGGTAGAAGATCGTCTAAATCTTAATGGAATGGAGCTTTACGTCAAAAATATAGGTACATGTCGACCTCCAAAACGTGAATTATTTACAATAAAACAAAAAAGGAGACAACGACAATTTTTTCTTTTTAAAATAACTGGACTGGACCGTGACCAAGTGACCCTCGACCTACCCCTACCATTGACTCAAAGGCTAAATCCGCTCTTGCACCACTGATGGCGCCTTGTGGTGCATTTTCATGCTCATGCAAGGTTGGGCACATTGGCTTGTTGCACTTTTGCGCAAGACAAAAAGTTAAGCCTTTTGTTTAATGGTCACAGCTTTAAACATAGTGAATAGAGGACGGAAAACTTGGTAACCACAATATATTTCTTTTATGTTTTATTGAAGTTTTGCTTTTACCCAATGCGTTTATATACCATACAACGTAAGTATTTATTCTGTACAATATTTACATGTAACAAAAGATGACTAGATCTAGATAATTACAGCTATATCAAATATCAAAGACAATTGAATGCACACATAATAAATTACAGATATTCATCAATGACTCTTCTTATTGAACGTCTGTACAGAATTATTCCACCTTAAAAATGCATTTGCAGTTAACATTCTTTGTAAGTATAACACAACTTTGTATCGCCAACAATGTCTATATCACTCTCACAATCACTGGCATCGGAACTAGTGTCTACTGAAAATTTGCTGCTGCCACCATCTACTGGTTTCTGTAGTGGATTCGATCCTACCCCTGTAACAAAATAAAATTTTTCTAGAATTTTGTAATCTCGGAGCACATACACTTATTTGAATTTTCCTCCGTGCTCCACAACGCTTTATACGTAATTTAAAAAGGATCGTTTACCCGAAATCGAGTTTTTTTAGAGATTACAGATACTCAGATATTTTCAAAAAAATCTTCATTGGATATTTAAAAGTATAAGACTGGCGCAAAATTACCAAAAATCTGGACTTGATATTCTGATTGACTTTTTATTATTTTCCATGGAAAGTAGCAAATACGAAAATAGCTACTAAATATGTTGTTTGCCTTCGTCCAACCGACCAATGTCCAACCATGGACATCTGTTTCGTGCTTTTTGGCAAATCATCAGCATTGTCTAAGCTTGACCTCTGGGGCAACGGAAAAATTGCAACTATCCTCTATCCAAGGTATGAGATCTATCGAAATAAGACATCTATTACCAGAATCGACCTGACGATTCTGACAGTACAGTAGATCTGGTGTACTCGTCATTAAACAAAAATAGCTCTCATATATAAGGGTAATTTATTGTTGAAATGCTGAAACGAAAAACACGCTTCAGTAATTGGCTTCAATTTTTTTACGGACTATCCGATGTTAATACAATTATTCAACTTTTTAATTTAATTTCGCAGTATGTGATTTTTAAACAAAACGAATAGCGTTCTGCTGCTATTACGGAGAATTTTGTTTTAATAAAAATGATTAAATGGCTGTGTAAAATGTTACGTAACAAAGGAAAAATAATTTTGTATGAAAATAACCCGATTGATTCGTTGTGAAGTGCATGTCCATTTTATACATTGTGCTGGCTTTTTGACGAGGATACTCCTACGAGCCTGTTAACACATTTAGATCTTGCCTTGGTGACTGATAGAAAGAAAATGAAAAAATATTTTTAAAAACAAGCTTTTATTTAGCTGTTACATGCTTTTATTTGAAAACTTGAGAAGATGGAGCTACGTTATCGTTTAAATACTTCCAATCGGAAAAAATATTTTTAAATTTGTAGTTCGTTTTATCGACATCTAAATAAAAGCTTGATTTTAAAAATGCATTTTTTTGTTTCATTTCTTTTTCACTTTTTAGTATTTATGATGTGAAATAATTAGTTTGGTTCTATATAACTTTAATATGCTTTATTAATAGAACTCGATAAAACTTCTTACTTTATTTTTGTATTATACGATATCGAGAGATAGAAACATATAATGATAAATCGATATTTTGTGGCGATCGACATATGGAATTTAATTGCTTATCGTATTTCGCTATTTGATATCTGATTATAGTGGTGACCACTGAAATAATCGCGTTTTGCTTATGCCGATGACTCGAGGATTTACGACACCGTTACAGACACTGTCCTGCTTCAGCGTGATCTTGAAATTGTCTGTCAATGGTGAGACAGTTGGCTTCCACCCTTGGACCTATCAAAGTGTTGTGTCTTACACCAATACGCGGTTCGTATGAATGATCGCTGCGGTCCCTAGTCATACTGATTTTGGCGTTGTCGTGTACGATCGTTTATCCTGGACAGGCCATATACATTATGGCTCTTCTTTACAATCGACGATTACGCGTTCATGTAGAGGGCATACTCGACTGTACTCGCCGATCATCGTCTAATATCGCCTTTGACCCGTGAATTGTATCGCATCAAAGGGAATCGCCGGGTCATATTGATGCTTGCCGTTTGACAAACTAAAGTGTGTCAATAAGAGCGCCGGATTTGTTCAAGAAAAACACAATTTCTTTTCGAATTAAGCGAGTATTTATATTTCACCATGAAGAGGAATAGTTGCGATTAAACATGAAATAGGACATCCGGTAAATGGCCACCACGAAACCTCTGGCACAGGGTCAGCTTTTTCTTAAAAATTTCGATAACGTTTTCGCATAACGGTGGTTCTATTCGTCGATCGATAACGCGCCGTATCTCTTCTTTAAGGCGTTCAACTGTTTGTGGCTTGTTCGCATACACCTTTTGCTTTACATAGCCCCAGAGGAAGAAGTCTATTGGGGTTAACTCGCGCGGAGTGGAAACTTGGTTCGCAGTAACACCATTGTTTCGCGTGCTGTGGGGCAGGTCGCACCGTCTTGTTGGAAGAACATATTCTCCATATCAATTCGCTCCAACTGAGGCCACAAAAACTCGGTTAACATTTCGTGATACCGCACATCATTAACAGTTGCTGCAGTTCCAGCTGCATTTTCGAAGAAATACGGTCCAATCACTCTGCCACTCCACAATGCACACCAAACGGTAACTCGCGGCGGATGTATTGGTTGTTCGATTATTACACGAGAGTTTGAGAACCCCAAATTTGGCAGTTCTGCGTATTGACGTAGCCGTTCAGTTGAAAATGTGCCTCATCAGTGAAAATGATTTTCTCCGAGAAATTCGCATCAGTTTCCGTTGGCATGAGTTCTTGTGTCCATTGAACGCAAGTACGAACAGATCTTTTATAAAAATTCGTTGCAGAATGGGTCTGGTAAGGTTCAATTCTTGGCCACGATGCCAAATGGGAGTGCCTGGATTCTCGGCCACAGTTTGCCGCACTGCGACTATATTTTCAAGGGACCGACCAGGACGGCGCGACGAACAGTGGTCGTCACATTCAACAACGTGAGTTTTGTCTCAAATTTTGTAATTAAACGGCGAACTGTCGACTCAGTTGGCGCATTATTGTGAGCGAAAATTGTACGTAATTTGCGAACTGTTTCCGCGTAATTTTCTCCATTTTTGTAGTGAGTTTTCACAACAATTAAACGTTGCCCGTTTGAATACTATTCCATGACGTCTAATCGCGTGGTCTGGACATGACAGCTGTCATCAAGTAAGTACCATACCATTTGTACAAAAAATGGCGGCAAATTCAAATCCGGCGCTCTTGTTGAGACACCCTTTACTGCGCACGCTAGTGTAGATGCTTGCATTACGTAACAACCAAAGCCAAGAAGTTTGTATACAGGGTGTCCGCAAAGTTGGGGTTTTCCTTTTCAGAAACAACTACCCTTGAAATAACAAAGGTAATGTGTAGTGAAACGAGGGCGACCAAGTATAAAAAAATAAAGGAAAAAGTACTCACTTTCCAGTTGACGAGAAGGGCTAAGTACGTCTCTGCCCGAAATCATACCGCTCCAACAGAAAATGAAATCAACTCATCCGCTACCGAGCAGAAGCCGGCGGTGGTGCAGACCAAACAAATAAGACGGCGTTGCCGCGTTTTTAGTTTTTAGGTAAACGTACTTTATAGGTATTGTTCGAAGTTATCGCCGTTTGATTAAAAAACACAGGTGCGTGCACGACGTAGCCAAGCATCGGTGCAGGCTTTGAGAATGGAGTCCCTCCCTCGAATGAAAGCACCAGCTTGTTCAATTCTGAGACGAAGTTCGTCAACCGTATGCACTTCAGTTTTGTACACTAAGCATTTCATTTCTCCCCAAAATCACATGGTGTAAGTCTGGAGATCGCGGAGGCCACGCTACGGGTCCAGTACGCCCGATCCACCTATTCGGAAATAATTCATCCAAAAACTCACCCACTTCGCGTCTAAAGTGGGGCGGTGCACCATCGTGCAGAAACCACATTGATTGTCTTACACTTAATGGCACATCTTCTAACAAGGAAGACAAAATGTTGCGTAAAAAGTCTAGGTATTGCATCCCGTCCAATCGATTTGGGAGAATAAATGGTCCAATAAGCATACCGTTCACCATGCCAGCCCAAACATTTACCGAAAATGTTTGTTGAAAATGTGCCCGACGGACAGCGTGCGGATTTTCTACTGACCAAACATGAGTGTTGCGAAAGTTATTCACCCCATTACGCGTGAACGTAGATTCGTCTGTCACCAATATGCACTTCAAAAAGTCCGGATTATTGTCATGTTGATGCAACAACCACTCACAAAACCGCACTCTTGCTGGAAAATCGTCAGGTTGAAGGGCTTGTACATGTTGGACGTGGAACGGATACAGCCCCTCTTCACACAGCGTTTGCCACACTTTAGTTTTTGATACTTGCACTTCTCTAGCCACGTCTCTAGTGCTTGTTGAGGGATTGTCGTCTACGCGTTTACCTCTACACGCGTGACCGTAACCGTCGGTTGAAGGTTGCATACTGACCTGACACACTGACCCCGACCCAGTTCTACCGTCGGGTTGAGCCTTGTACCAGTCGGTGACGACAGGACGGTATTCAGATATTTTTGATGTTGCAGAGCCCTTTATCTCGGTTCCCTTAAGACATTGGTGTATATGGTACCAAGAAAAATTGCTTATTTTTTCAAGATCTACACGTCGTGTAAAGGAAAACCCCAACTTTGCGGACACCCTGTATAATGAGGTACTGATTTCATAAAGCACTTTGTCTATGAATTTATTTCAAAAACGATGAAGCGTGTTCTATTCACTGATGGTTGTGTAATATGAAACATAAAATTTAACTCCAATTTTATAGTGTATAAAACTGTTTGCCTTTCCAACTCTTTTCGGATCAAGTTACTTGCCTGTAAGGTATCACGGTAAGAAATGGGTGAAGAAGAGAAGGAGAAATGGAAGAGCGCTCTTATACGCTACTAAGGTCCGCTCAAGTTTTGGAGCTTTGTTTGTAATTTTTTGTGTGCTTATCTTGTCAATAAAAACAATTCATTATTACTATTATTTGAGTTTGTTGCAAAGCTTATTTCGTCAGGTTGAAGGGCTTGTACATGTTGGACGTGAAACGGATACAGCCCCTCTTCACACAGCGTTTGCCACACTTTAGTTTTTGATACTTGCACTTCTCTAGCCACGTCTCTAGTGCTTGTTGAGGGATTCTCGTCTACGCGATTACCTGTACATGCGTGACCGTAACCGTCGGTTGAAGGTTGCATACTGACCTGACACACTGACCCCCACCCAGTTCTGCCGTCGGGTTGAGACGTTGTACCAATCGGTGATGTCCCGGGTCGCGGCTACAGGACGGTATTCAGATATTT